GGGTAATTAGAATGCAAAGTGATCAGTCCAAATAATAGAAGTTTGATTAAAATATTTAGTGTCCAGAAGAATTGGAGGCGATATTTGAGTTGTTTTGAGGAGGACGAGTAGGCATCCATTAGATATGTCAGGTTTGCCAAACATAAGAACAACTTCACTGAATGGCATGTAAAGGAAACAGTTATTTCAGTATGGCAGAACATAGGATATATATGGGAATGAGTGAAGTACCTGTGATGAGCTTGGAAAGGTAAGCTTAGAACTTCACTCTTGAGATGGTCAGTGTGTGATGAAGTCACTTACCAAGTTAGAGAGAATGGAGCTGGAAGCAAGATGTATGAGAATGGAAAGGCATATGGAACTTGTTTGGGGGAACTAAGCTTGAGGTTCTACAGAGTAGTGAGGTGAAGATGAATAGTACTTACTTGGAAATAATGTCTTGGATTCTTAGGAGTGACCAGACTTGAGATTAAAGATTGGGAGGAGAAGAGAGCTAAGGAAGAAACCTCAGGGAATATTAACATTCAAAGAGAGGGTGAAAAAGAGGTCTGAGAGTTATTGTGGAATCTTAAGAAAATATCCAAAAGACTTCCATCAGTGCCATAGGAAGAGTGATGACTGCAATTAGAAGTTTTTGGGTGAACATATTTGGGAAAGCTGGGGGATGAACTGCAGTGGTGGGAGGAGTAGATGAGTAGCAAAATCGTAAAGCCCCAGTGTGTACTTATTTTCCCAGAAAAGACACAATTAAGAGGAAAAGATAAGTCAAAAGATCAATTTCTTTCTAAGTCACTGAGTTAATTTTAGAAATTGTGCACATCGCATCCAGTAAATTTATTAGATATCCTTGAACTTTGTGTCTTTCTCTCACAATAATAATAGGGTCCAGCAAGCATGATGGCCTACCTGCTGGTTTCTGGACTATTCCTAACTCGACTTAGAAGACCTATTAGTAAGATGACAATAACTGAGCAAAAGTATGAAGGGGAGTATAGATACGTTAATTCCCGGCTCATCACAAACAGGTAAGGAAAAATGTATTAAATATATTAAAGATTCATTTTTATGGATATTGATGTCCTATAAGTTGACTCCAAAAAGTTTAAGAACATCGTTACTGAAATTATGTCTGTGTGTATTTACCTCTTTTGAAAAGACATATTTGAAGGGTATTAATTTTGTAACCCTTTTTTTTAGTTAACTTTGTTATATCCCTGATTCAGCTCTTTATGTTGTTTATTGACTAATTTTCTCTTAATTTTATTTTAAACATAGTCAAAATACAATTCAGATTTACTTATAATACTTAAAATTTCATTCCATTATCCTAAAATATTTTTATTTGAGACTATGTTTAGAATACTCAGTAATTCAGTCTCACTATATGTGTCTCTACCTATTTTCCAGACAGTTTAAAAACCCAAAATAGGAGAAAAAAGTACTGTGCTTTCGAGCCAGCCTAATTTCAAAATCTACGTCCTCTACTTATCAATTATATATTCTATGACTTTTGGCAAGTTATTTTTAGCCTCACTTTTGTTTATAATAGTTAGATAACATAGGGTTATTGTGAGGATTAACCATTAAATATATATAAAGCTTCCAGCATAGTTTTTGGTATGTAGCAGATGCTTAATAAATTTCCTCATATGTTGATGTCAATCTTAAGTCATTTCGAGGGTCCTGATATTTATTTACTACCCTATAGGTATTTACAAAATTACTTAGGAAATTACTCTTTAACAATTTCTTCCTCCTTAATGTCTTTGAATTGCTACAATGGTACTAATTTTAAATTGGATTTTGTATTCTAGGGAAACAGGGATTTGACAGTTGAGTTGAGAGGTGATTTGCCAAGCGAGTGAAAGATGGTCTCAGTTAGAATTCTCTCTATTGCAAGACACAGAAAACCTGACTCAGAGGGCTCCAACAATAGGGATATTTACTACTTCACATATGAACTCTTAGGATAAAGTAGTTCCAGCATGATCAAGGCTCTGGATCTTCTTTGTTTTTCTCTTGGCACTGCCCTCCTTTGTATGTTACCCCTTTCCTCAGGCTGTCTTGTAATCACAAGTTGTTAAAAGCAGTTCCAAATCTCACCAGCCCTCCTCCCCTGCAAAAAGTCCAGAAATAAAAATGGGCCATCTCTTCTGCTGTCTTTAAGAGAGCAAGGAAACTTTCCCAGAAGCCCTGCAGCCAACTTTCCTGCATATCTCATTGGCCAAAATTATCACTCCCTCGTGACTAAAACAATATATAGCAAAATGATTGGCTTAGACCATTTGAAACTCATCCCCTGTGGATGGGCATGAGGCCATTCTAAACCATTTGGATATACAGAAAAGGATAGATAACTTTAAGAAAATCAGAGTTCTCTTGGGAAAAGAACAAGGAAGAGATAGATGTTGGATAGGCAGCCATCAGTACTGTAGGATGTTTTGTCCTTTCACATACTGGAGTGGGGAAGTAGAATTCTCGCCTCATCTTCCTCCATAGGCTTAAATGTGCAGAAGAGATAGAAAGAAGTATAGGTGAAGAATTGTGTTTCTTAAACTGGGATTCTGATACCTCGGTGCTCTGTATCATTGTGTCAAGGGAGCCATGAAACACAGGTCAAATATGATGATGCATCTTTATGAAAAGTTAATTTTACTTAAAGGAATTGAAGTAGGAACTGCCTTGCTTTTATGATGAAAAAAAAAAATACAAGTACATTTTGGAGTAGACTATAAAATTCACAGAGTTTAAAGGGAGAAAAGAGACTTTAAATAAATATTAAGTGTTTATTGAAGGCTGTTTTAACAGTGCCTTCTGGACTCCTATGTAAATTTTTACTTTTCTGTAATAGGTACTTTGATGGGAGATTTACATCATACTGAACAGAGTGAAAAGACTAGACTTTGGTATCATATGTGAGTTATAATCTCAGCTGCTTGACTTGCTACCTGTATGACTTTAACAAATTTACATAACTACACTGAACCTTTCTTTATTTATAAAAATGCCCATTTATTTCTAGTCAAGATCCTTATGGCCCTTGTGGACGCATTCAAACCAGTTCAGGAAAACTGAAGTTGTGAAGACATGGTGGGGTTCTAAGAATAAAAGTGACTATGCATCTAGGCCTCCTGAGAGGTGGCACTGAGAAGCTGTCAGGACTTAGTTTGGTTTTCTCTTCTTCAGAGGCTGTATGTCATGGCATCGCTATTATCTAGCTTTTGTTTTCTACTCCTCCTTCTACTGTATTTAATTTGTAGTCTATGATGGCTGTCCCAGCCCTGCTTCCCTATGTATCATGGCAACTTCCTTCTTATTTTTTATTGTTTTATTTAAATTTCTAAGAATTAGCCCAGCACATTTCAGCCAGGCTACCTATGGCACATGCATCATATAGTTGTAGTCTAGTCTGTGATCCAATCAGATATGTATTCCTGTGCTCTGAACTAGGCACAGAGTCTCAAGTACTGACCATGGATTGAGACGTACCTGGTAAGGTCTTAATCACAAACTATTTATTTAAATGCAGATATTCAGTCATCAAATACTGTATTTCAGTTATTTTACAGGCTTAGGTAACATTAAAATTAATTGCTGAATTATTTTTTTAATAGTGAAGAAGTTGCCTTTTACAATGGGAACAAAAGAGAACAACAGACAATCTACACAGTCTTCCAGAAGCTGGTAAGACAACACGTTTGAGTCTCACATATTTATAAAAAGATTTTTTTTATTTTGGCCTAGGCAAAAATATAAATATATATCTTTACTTTTTAAGGTATTTATTTTTAAATAGCTATAAAAGATTTTTATAATGTGTTTTCATAAAAAAATATGAGAATAAAACTATCTTATCAGTATATTGTTGCTTAGTTATAAATATTGATAGATTTATTAAAATGTCAGTATATTATTGTATAGATAGGAGTCTTATTTAGTAATTAATTTAGTGATTTCTATAGAAAATTTGTTCCTATAACATTCATGAAAATACTGTGAAGATTATTTAGATTAGAGGTCAGCAAACTTTCTGTAAAGGGCAAGGTAGTACATATATAGTTTAGGCTTTTGAGGCTGTATGGTTTCTATTGTAACTATTCAACTCTACCACTCAAATGTAGCCATATACTATATATAACTGAATGGCTGTGGCTATGTTCTGATAAAATTTTATTTACAAAAATAAATAGCAAGCTGGATTCGGACTGCGAGTCATAGTTTGCTGACTCTTGAATTAGAATATAAACATTGTTTCTTGTGAAAACTGTACTTCAGTTTTTATTTACTTGCCACCTGGAAAACTTCAATTCAAGTAATTTTATTCATTCAAAAGATGTTGGGTATCATCTAGGTGCCTGTGTGTTTGTTCTAGGTGCTAGTGTGATAACAGTGGTGAATCTAATCTCAAAATTCTACCTTTATGGAGTTTACACTTTAGTGGAAGCTGGTGAACTTAAAAATATATTTGAAATGATTTAAAAAGATTAAAGTGGTTGTTATTTTAAATTATTTCATAAATTGAATTTTTGCTTTATTTATATTTAGCATGACTGAACTTTGATAGTGATCACTAAAATATATTTAAGGTAATTTTCCAGGAGACTGCATTTCACACCCCTCACTCTTCACATGGCTTGCTTATACTTATCTTTAGATTTCAGCCCAAAAGTTAACATCTGAGGCCTTGTCTTCTCTGATTGGTCTGTCTGAAACAGCCTTTACTAGTTATTTTCCATTTTAATGATTTGTTTCCTTAAAAGCATATATTGCAATTTATAATTTTCTTGTTTGCTTAATAGTTTGTCTCTTTCATTAGAATGTAAACTCCATGAGCTAAGGAGCCTTGTCTGTTCTATTCATTGTTCTGTTCTCCAGCACTGAGCACAGCATATGACACATGGAATTCACTGGATAAAAGTTCCAGCCATTGTTCTTTTGCAGAAGATAGTAAGAGCAAGGTACCTTGTTCTTAGGAACCCCCCATTTTAGTGGTGGGGACAAACATATAAACAATTGGATATTTTATATGATTTCAGATGGTAATGAATTTTATAACCAAAAATAAAATGGAATAAAGTGGTAGAGTATGATGAGAGCTGTTGCCTACCTATTTTTAGCTAGGATGGCAAGAAGATCTTTCTTGGGGAGGTGGCATTTTATAAGAAACCCACATCAAGTGGAGGTTAGTCATAAAATATACATACCTAGGAAGACTATTCCTGGCAGAGGGCACAGCCAAAAAAAAGCCTTAAGGCAGGAACATGTTTGAGGAACTAGCATTTCTGGAAGTCAGTGAGATGGAACAAAGTAGAAGCAGATGAGGTTTAAGATAGAGCCCAGTGCCAAATCATGCAGGACTTTGGATAATCTGATAGATGGAAAAGTTGAGAACATTAAAATATAAAATAAAAAACACTTTTAGATTTCTAATTTTGATATAATACATGCTCAGATTACAGCTACAGACTTGGGCTATGTGGCATTAATTTACATTAGCACATAGTTCAGATTGAGTGTAATGTAATTCTTAGAGAAAGCATAGACCAGGTATCTCCAACTAAAGCAAAGTATTGAGTGCCAATCTAGACTGCTAGCGTTTCACCTAAATTAGCTCATCCTTCTGTTCTTTTTGTTTTGATTATTGATCAGTTTTAGCATATACATACCTGATAGTATTATGACTGCATTGTTATTGTACATGCCAGGGACACCACATTAACATTTTTTATGTAATTTCCATTCTATTGCTATAAAAATGGTTTCATGAAGTGTTTAGTACCTGCTCTGTGATCAGCATTGTGCTCTATGAAATGTGATGTACAGTATAATCAGAAATCATATGCACTCAGTAAATATCTGTTGAATAAATGTACATTTTCTTTTATTATCATGATAGATTCATTTTTTAATACATAGAAAATATATATTTTTTTGTTCTTGCTTTCTGCCAGGTGGAACACCTACATACTTTCATTTTGTTTCGGTTTTCTATGGGCTTCATTGATAGCATAATTGCCAAATGTAAGTATGCTTTAAAAGAGATGGTGGAATGAGATTTGTGGAAAAAGTAAAGTATTGTTCATATTTTAATTCTTAACTGTTTTGTTTCAGATTTTGCCACTGTTGTTGGTTACCTAGTTGTCAGTCATCCTTTCTTAGATTTATCTCATCCTCGACATGTCAAGAGTACGCATTCAGAACTTATGGAGGTAAAGTGGTATTAATAATAACAATTGAAATTCAGATATAAAATTAAATAAAACCTAGTTTTTAATCTTAGAAATATAAGTGAAAATTAATATATTTTTTTCTGTTTAAGGATTACTACCAAAGTGGAAGGATGCTTTTGCGAATGTCTCAAGCTCTGGGTCGAATAGTTTTGGCTGGCCGTGAAATGACTAGATTGGCTGGGTAAGTAAGATTCTTAATAATGAGCAATTGCAGAGAACAATTTTTTAAAAACACAACCTTTAGTGATTGTGCCCAGTTGAGGTTAAGATCAGTGACAACTGATGCTACTAATTCTAGAAGCCGGTTTTGATAAAGAGTTAAGGAAGGTTATTTTCCTTATAGTGAACTGTTCATGTTTCCTTGAGATAATTGTTTTGAGCTTTAACTAGATTAGTGGTTCTCAAGCTGTCTGCTCCATGGACAGTGGTATTCAGTAAATTGGGAATTGTTGAATCATGACAGTTCTTCTTAATTCACAGAAAATTAACTTAATGACTAGAATCTTCTTATTTGAACTTTTTGTTTCCCACCATACATTTTTTCTTAGATCTTTGGTACTGGCAACCCAGCAAAAGATGAACAAACATGAAGTTGATTTTAATGGAAAAAAATGAAAAGTTACCTTGTAGTATCTGTAGGTACAGTTGTAAATGTGGTCATATTATCTATTAAAATTGTTCTTAGACCATAAAGTGGAATTTAATATTTTAGTATTTAAAGCTCTAGTATAAAAAGCTTGGTACGGTATGAACAACAATATAATGTAAAAAAGTCATCTGGAGAAATTAAGATCTTTTTCAGGCCTGTGATTTGTCTCTGCATATTTCTTCTTCTTTATTCCTTCTTCTCTCCTATGACAGAGAAGGTCTTAACGGCAAGACGGAAGAAGTTGTAAACTACTGTGTGGAGTCTCTTTCACTTGAAAATGCTAAAATCCTTCCTATTTGTTAATAGCTTTGTGCCTTTATAGTTCATGGCATATGGGGTGCTTCTGTTCCTTTATGAGATTGTTCCTTGTTATTCACGGAAAAATCCTGTTTCGCATCTCTGATGTAGAGTGCTTTCTCTTTGACCATAATGTCTTTTCTATGTGCCTCAACTTCTTTTCATTAGTTTCAATTTCTGTCTATTGTCACAGTGAGTTCCACATAATATTAATAACACTTCATCTTTTCCCCTCTTAAGAATATGAAAGAGAGAAATCTTCCACATTCTTTCACATTTGCAAGGTAGCATTCATTTGAGATAATATATACATATTATCTCAATATATATATATATATTATAAACCTTCCTCACATAGGAGACTGTTTTTATACAACGCTTTATAGCTCAGTTCAGTGGGAACTCAGAGTCCATACCTCCTGGGTCTAAAGAATGCACTACTACTATTTCTTTTGTAGTAGCTACTAGAAACTTCTTTAAAATTCTAGTGGCAAACAACCTTCTTAACTTACCTATTAAAGAAGTAAGTATCTGTTGAGGTGGGAATCTTTTGAAACCTTTTCCCTGATCCCCACATTTCTGCTCTCCTTCTGAAACATTATAGTAAAACATGCATACTATCACTAATACTTTATGTTGATGAAAATTCTTTTAGGTTATTTCATTTAAGCTAAATTATAATTTTAGAAACTTCAGTTAGATTTGTATAATATAAAAGATATAAACTTCCACAATGTCATATGTCAATTTCATCTCAAATAAATAAAATAATAAATATGAAAGACATGCTGGCCTTTGGAGATTTGATATGACTTTTTTTAAAATTTCAGTTTTACTGCTCGGATTTCAGAATTGATGCAAGTACTAAAGGATTTAAATCATGGAAAATATGAACGCACAATGGTCTCGCAACAGGAAAAGGGTAAATATAAACATATTAGGTCACATAGTTTTTGCTGACATAATATAATGCTTTAATATTTATTTTCCATTTAAGGTATTGAAGGAGCACAAGTCATTCCCTTGATACCTGGTGCTGGAGAAATCATCAGTGCTGATAACATTATAAAGTACGTATCGAAAAAGGTTTTTTAGCTCCATAAACATTTGTTAAACTACATAGTACCCTTTTCTTTTAGCTGCCTTTGCTTTGTGTTTGATATAAAATTATCCTCTTTTTATTAATTTCTTCTGTAGATTTGATCATGTTCCTTTAGCAACGCCAAATGGAGATATCTTGATCCGAGACCTTAATTTTGAAGTAAGTTTTTAAATGATTGTATGATAGCTTAATTCATCTTCAAGATGTGAAATGAAAAATGGGTGTTTGAAGAATCAAAATAATTTTAAGGCTTAACTTAGTCTCTAAATTCACAAAATTGCTTTAAAAAGTGTTTAAATACTTAGAAATCTTATTTTTCTTATTTGAAAGGATTTTAAAGTTTCAAGTATTAATATCAAAAAATATTTTGCAAATCCATTGCTAGTGCAACTGAGAAACTGAATTTTAAGTTTTATTTAATTTTAATAAATTTGATTTTAAGTAGCCACACGTGACTAGTGGACAGCACAGCTCTAGAATTCCTCTCTCTATGCCTGTGTATATGGCCTTCTTTAATTTGTTTTATATATAGGATTCTTTTCAGCTGCTTTCATAGAAAGAATGTTGTCTGATAGTTTATAAAATAAGATATATAATTATTGGATTTATTTTTAAATTGTTAGAATCTTTGATAAGTCTTCAATTTTTCTATTCAGTAATGTATATTTATTTAAATACATTTCTACTTTTTAAGGAACTATAAATGAAAACAGTTATGCACAGTACTTTGAACTTAGTCAACAATGAGTATTGTATATTATATTCATTTTAAAGCCAAGAAACATGAGACGAAGTAGAGAAAATGTAAATATAGTTGGTAAATGTTGAATGACTATAATATTACAGATACTTCAGCTAGTTTGGTGTACTCCCTTAACACAGTAGGTAGCCACCCATCAGGCTTGATTTCATAAATAAAACAGAGATCAGAATCCTATCTTTGTTACATTTCTAGTAGCTCCTTTGTTTAAGCCTCAACTCAAGGGTAAAAAGTGCCATGAGACTTCTCCATTGAAGAATCCTCTTGGTCCTTTTTTCCACTTTCTTCACTCTGTCTTTATGCAGAAATAGATTACACCAACAATACAGATACACACATGGCTTAAACATAATGAGAAGGGATTTGGGATCTGTATGTACAGCTACATGGAGTAGATAAGATTATGGTTCTGGTCTGTGATATTATTTACTCACTTTGTTATAATGTTACCACATTAAAGCTCTTGCTTTCTTTTCAGTCCAAAAGCCCTTCCCTTTAAAGCCCTTATGTTTGAATTTAATATACTTCTAGCTAGAGCCTATAACTTCACTTTTATAATTTCAGAAAGGCTCTTGATTTTTTGCTCTTATTTTGGTTTCATTTGGAAAGTCTTATTTGAGTACCCAGTTATGCCTTTTACTTTGTGATCATATTCCATACCACCTGTTGTTTATCTTGTTTTGTTTCCTCCTCCACTGGGAGCTGTGTTTTGACTTCTGTCCTTTTGGTCTACTGTAATGAATTCCTCTTCTGTCTCTTTTTCACTTAAGGTATTTTAAGTTAGACTTGGCTTTTCTCATTTATTCTGTCTTTGTTTTGTTTTGTTTTGTTTTTCCTTTAACATCTTCTTCCTTTATTTAACAAACATCTTTCAGTTCTTTGTAACCTCCAATTTTCTACCCATCTGGCTTACTTGAAAATAAGGATTCCTTTCTCCTGGATAGAGGCATGGTAAAACAGACTTGGCCACCAAAAACAAATGTTTCATACTTTATGATTAGTTTTTCTCAGGTTACATAATAACCAAATAATATAAGCTTATTTGAGATAGGAGATTTTATACCTTATTCCTATGTAAACTCTCCAGCACAGGCATATTTATCTAAATGTAGACTGAAGAGACCCTAAGAGATAACAACTTGTAGGTTATATATAATGTGGATGTTAAAATAGTACTTTGTAACTTATTCCAATTTTTACCTTTTTAGTAAAGGCATATTTGTAGTGTATAAGAAGCCTATAAATCTTCATAAACAGCATTCTTTTATATTATTTCTCTTTTACTTAAATCATATTTATGTGTAGTTTTTTTTATTTATTATGGTAAATTCATAGGAAGTAGGATTTATCAAGAAGTGTTATTTCTGGGTAAATAACTGGTAAAAATGTGGTGGCTCAAAGCATTCACTGCTCCATTAAACCAATCTAGGAACCTCAATGATACAGAACTCAGTTTATCAGTGAAAGTTACTCTTGGTTTTTAATCTTAATTCAACCCGTAAAAAAATACATTTTTATAAATCTTTAATATGGAAAAATCATTACTGGCTTACCATGACTAATGTCATAATTGTAAGTTTTGTCCAACATTCTCAAAAGCCATGGAGTAAAGAAAAGTTAATGTTGGATTTAAAACATTTGAGCATAGGAGAGTACCTAAGGATGTCCATGAGTCTAGTTATTATTTTTACACATCATTACAAACTTGGTTTGGGTGTTTCCTGGCATATTGCAACAAATAGTGTGGAGAAATATTGGATACCAGTGTCACAATGGGCAGTTAGGGGCAGAAAAGATTATATTGCTGACATTACTCAAATAAAGCATAGTAGTGTGGAACCATTTAATTAACAGTTCTGAACTGTAGGAGCACCTAAGGACATCACTTATAGTAAAGTAAAATTATTATATAGAATCTTGCATTATCAAGAATATTCATTATATTCAGTTTTACAGGAAAAAGAAATAGATAATTGCTCATACAGAAGTCATCTAAATGAGTCTTTAAAATAATTTCTCAGAAAAAGGGACAGTTCATTCATCTAGAAAAGTCATTTAGAATAGTTTATGCTCTAACATTGATGTGCATAAGGTGTGAAATTTTATTATAGATCAACTATGTGGTAAGCCAGTTAGGGTAATTCTCAGCCTTTTTATAGAGGTTCATTTTTTCTCTTTTATTGTGGTAAAATATACATAACACAAAATTTAACCCTTCTAACCATTTTTTAGTGTACAATTCATCAGCATTAAGTACATTTACGATGTCATGTGACCATCAGCATCCTCCATCTCCAGAACTTTTTCATCATAACAGACAGAAACTCTGTACCCATTAAACAATGCATTTCCCTCCTTCCCCAGCCTCTAGTAACCTGTTCTACTTTCTGTCTCTGGGGATATGACTACTCTAACTACCTCATATAAGTGGAATCATGCAATATTGGCCCTTTTTTGTCTGGCTTATTTCACTTAGCATAATGTCTTCAAGGTTCATCCAAGTTGTAGCCTGTATCAGAATTTCATTCCTTTTTAAGGCTGAATAATGTTCCATTGTATGTCTATGCCATATTTTGTTTATACATTTATCCTCTTGGGTTACTTTCATTTTTTGGCCATTGTGCATAATGCAAATGGTTCTCCATTTCATCAGAGTAGAAGCCAAAGTCTTTTCAGTGGCTTACAATGTAGAATTTGCCTGCCACTACTCTAACCGCTCCCACTTACCTCTCTGAGCTCATTTCCTACTTCTCTTCTCTCCTTATTTCCTCTTGCCAAATCAGCCTCCCTTCTTTTTTTTTTTTTTTTCCCCCC